AAAACGCTGCGGCTCTCCCTGCGCTTGCTAACTACCCCGTTAGCTCTGGAGGGGCTTGAGTAAACGCCGGGAGGAGGTCGGGCTATTAAGTAAATCCCTAGTTTGCAGGCGGGCCACGCGGCTTGCCAACTGCAGGCCTTGATGTCTCCACTGTGTGCTTGCTTAGCCCCGGCCTATGGCTGCGGGAGCGCTGTGCCTAAAAAACGCTGCGGCTCTCCCTGCGCTTGCTAACTACCCCGTTAGCTCTGGAGGGGCTTGAGTAAACGCCGGGAGGAGGTCGGGCTATTAAGTAAATCCCTAGTTTGCAGGCGGGCCACGCGGCTTGCCAACTGCAGGCCTTGATGTCTCCACTGTGTGCTTGCTTAGCCCCGGCCTATGGCTGCGGGAGCGCTGTGCCTAAGGTGGTGTTAAATAAAGAGACCCGCCCTGGGCACAACACAAGCAGCAGCTTCCAAGCTGCTTAACAAAATTAACAGCCGCTCTCCCACGTTCTTAAAAGGCGCGGGGTAACGAATGGTGCTAACTGGCGCAGAGGTGTTGGACAGATTTTGGGCACACCCAATGCCACCAACGCGGAGGAAAGGCTAACGAGTAACAAGTGACCTGCACATGGAGTGCTCAAAACTTGAGTTTGCAAATACCCCCCTGGTTTGAGCTCAGGGACAAGGTTGCTTTAATCCTCCCACCGCCTCATGCTTACAGCCCGCATTTTGTGCTAACTGCCTCCCAGCACAACGCAAAATGCTAACCCAACCTAGCAGCGAGCAGGGGATATAATAAATAAACAACACATAATATCTTAAGAATCATAAAAGCCACACAGCATACCAAATTCACTTTTCACCACGAAAAACATTCTGAATGACTTTAGGTTCCTTAATCAGGCTCTGGGTGATCTATCTCAAGAACTGTGAAAAACGTCAGGTTTATATGGATTTGTAGCAACTTTGAATCCCTTTTCTGTATGTAACGAAAGGAAGTTGAGGTCGTGTGGCGCTAAACTATCCTGCTCACCATTTTTGCTATCAGAGGCACAACACTATGTCAAGTTTTCAGGCTGCAAAGTTTTACAGTAAATGTATGCAGTAAATTGTTCCTGGGCCTAACAAATCAAGTAAAATGCTGGAACCTGCAGTAAATATGGCATGTGCGACATGCTTTCCAGTGAAAAGGAACATAAATGACTCTTGGCTAGGTTGGTGTTCCCAATTGTGTGGTGCCCCCATGCAGTTTTCTTCATAGCTTGCCCATAAAACCAGCCATGTGTACAGGAATCACTGAAAAAGTACCAGGAGACTGAAAAAAAAAAACCCCATAGAAATAGGAGGTATTCAAAATTTAAAGACTTAGAAAATATGAGGTCTTAAAACGAAATAATATACTTTTATAAGGAATTAATTTACTTGAATTCCTTCATCATCATTAATACTGTTTTTTGGCTCCCCTTTTTTATATATGAAGAGCAAACATGCATGGGTGTTTGTAAAAAAAGGAACGTGGAAATTAAAGCATTTATCTGATTTCACTTACTTTAATTAGCATTTCAGACACCCTTCGTGTTTGATATTGAAACTTGTTTCCCTGCATGTTTAATACGGAATCAAAAGAATACAACAAACTGCTTGTTTAGTTTAACAATGAAAACTGAGTTCCATGTAGTGCTTCTCTGAGGAGATTAGAGAACACTGGAGCAAACTTCATGCAGAATTAAAGGCGAGTTTTAAAAAGTAACATTTATTTTTGGGCTAGATTTATGGCTGACCCATAGATAATTAAAGGTTTTATTTTGAGTTGTTGGCCCCACACAATACATTGTCCTTTGTTGCTGTACAAGTGGCGCTTTCCCTGTGCTGTCTACGGTTCAAAAACAATGAAGCAATCCATTTATTTTGTGGGTGAATTGTAGCACGAAGTGAGGTGGTCAGTGGTGAAAGTTTATCACTGTCTTGTCCCTTTGGCAGAGGCAGAGCATTCACACACCCTCTGCCCTAGTACACAAATGTCAGGCTTTTTGCAGGCTGCTGTTTTCCTTTTGAAGATGCCGATGGTGTCTCTGATCCACTAATCCATTTATCCAGTTTCATGAGTGCA